CACCTTATGCATTCTTAACTTGTCTTTTCTCATTCCTTTGTGTGAGCAAAGCCCAGGACCCTGGACTGGGGAGAAACGGAGGGACAGTTAAAGGAAGTGTTTGTGTAAGCAATTCTAGAATGAAGTCAGAAGAAAAAAAGAACTACATATAACTTTCTAAATTGCTGTGTTGTTTTTCTAGTAGAATGCTTGCCTTTGTATAATGATGATTGCTTGATTGTTAAACAGTGATCAGGTTATTAAAGCAACACTGAAGGACTGAGCCACTCATCATGAGGTTTGGCTGCCAGTGAGAGTTAACAGCACGTGACGTGCTTTCCCCTGCAGAGAGCCTATAGAGGGATGTTTAGGATGGGAGGTGACACATCACCCAGATTCCTTTCTCAGGAAGGCATCTCTATTAAGGCCCTGGGAGAGGAATCCAGCCCTTATGGAGAGCCTATAAACTGATGCACAAGGGATGTCTGTTTGGAAGTGAAAGCTTCAGTGGTCGAGATAAGGGTGTAAAGCTCTTCTTCTCCCACCACTCTCCTAGCCCTTCCCAGGGGCCCCTCGGCCAGGTAGAATTGTGGTCAGACCAGTCGCCTGGTTTCATGTCCTGTTCTTAGTTGCCTACTGCACAATCCTGATAACCACCTTAAAGTTAAACATCGTTTATAGTTAAGGCCTGACCCTATTAAATTGCTGATGCACACAACTAGCGGTTGGAACTCACGGTTCCGTATATCTGTATATCTCTACTATGGACCTCACCCTACAATCATGTGATCCTCTCACCCCATGATCAGACCACCCTCTGCTCACTGCCCTTGCTACCCCTCCCACATGTAAACTGATAATAAATGCTGGCTATTCCAGTGCTTGGGTGACATTGCGACTCCACGTTGCAGTGATCCCCCTGGACCCAGCTTTCACAAACTCGTCTCTGTCTTTATTTTTTCAGCCATTTGACCCACCTAGGATAAGCAAGAGAATCCACATTGCTGGTGGGGCTGGTTCCCGCTAGACCTTTGACTCCACCGGACTTTGTAGCCCCCACAGCCTGGTGTTGGTTCTCATCACTCCAACAGTTTCACCTTGAGATTTTTCACTTCATTACATCTGAAAGATTTTTTTTTTTCCAAATAAGGTCACATTTACAGGTCATGGTAATTAAGACTTGGACATATTGGCCAGGCGCGGTGGCTCACGCCTGTAATCCCAGCACTTTGGGAGGCCAAGGTGGACGGATCACCTGAGGTCAGTAATTCAAGACCAGCCTGGCCAACACGGTGAAACCCCATCTCTACAAACATACAAAAATTAGCTGGGTGTGATGTTATGCACCTGTAGTCCTAGCTATTCGGGACGTTGACACAGAATAATTGCTTGAACCAGGGAAACGGAGGTTGCAGTGAGCCAAGATGGTGCTATTGCACTCTAGCCTGAGTGACAGAGCAAGACTCCATCTCAAAAAAAAAAAAAAAAAGACTTGGACATATTTTGTAGGGGGTACACAATTCAACCCATTACAAGGGACGTATACATGGCTTTTCATTTTTGTTGGTAATAATTTAAGATTAGGAAATTGGAGACTATGTTTAGAATACGTTTATGATTACATTTATTTTCCTTAATGAACAACATCTTATTAATTGTGTAAACCAAAAATAAAATCGTAAACCCCTGTGCCCCCCACAACCATCTGAATGGACCCCTCCTCTCAGCCAAGGGTATGAAAAGGGTTATTGTGTCTGCACTCCATGACACATGTATAAGAGACATGGTTTGAATAGAAAAAAAAAGTAGGAAGAAAAAAACGATAAAGACTAAATGTCCAACCGTAGGAAAATAGATAGATTGAAAATTAGTGGAGTCCATGATGGAAGGAGGGGTCGGACATGCCTCATTATACCCTCCTCTTGGAATTACTGATCGGACACACTTTAAGTCTGATAAGAAACATTTACAATCTATTTTCTCTGAAGCCTGCTACTTGGACCCTTCAACTGCATGATCTCCACAACCCCTTATTGTAATTCACACATTTCTTTCTATTGATAATAACTCTTTCAACCAATTGTTAATCAGAAGATTTTTAAATCTACCTGTGGCCTGGAAGGCCCACCTCCATGTATTATGTCTGCCTAAAATGTATAAAAGCAAGGTGTAAGCTGGCCAACTTGGGCACATGTCATCAGAACCTCCTGAGGCTATGTCATGGGTGCATCCTCAACCTTAGCAAAATATTTGCAAAATAAACTTTCTGAATTGATTGCAACCTGTCTCAGATACTTTTGGGTTCACAGTTGCTTAGGTTCTTATTGTCAGGTGTTTTGGCTTTCTGCATTGGCAGAGATTTTTGTTTTCAAGTAGAATGGACCACACTAAACAAGACATAAATGTGCCATTACAGCCACAAACTGATAATCCTTCAAGAAAAGCTCAAAGAAATGAGCTGTGGATAGTTATTTAATATTTATATATGTTTTACTTGAATAACTGGCTACTTAAATTGTTATTTGATAATACGATCATGTGGTACTTTAGGACAATTATAACATAATAAATATTGATAATCTGTGCACCTTAACTGCATATTCTCTACAACACCTAGACATTTCCAATTGGTTGTTTTGACATTTTTATTTCAGTCAATAGTATTATCTTCCTCTCAATCGATGAGGCTTGAAACCAAACTCATCATAGAGTTAGACATTTTTCGAACTGGAAGGGAACTTAGAGATTATCACAACTCCCCCATTTCTTTTTACAAACGAGGACATCCAGTCATAGAGCAGTTTCACAATCTGAAAGTTAGTCAACTAAATAGTTATTTGTTGAGTAGCACAGTTATAGGACTCAGTTTCCCTGATTACCAGTTCAGTATTTTTCTTTACTACACACACTAATAGTAAACTACTACAAATAACAGCTAGCATTGATTTAGCCATTACCATGTACTACTGTGCTAAGTGTTTTTATATGTGTTCCCTTATTGTATTTTCAGGGACACTAAATACTCAGGATCGTGGGCACTTAATGTCTTATATAAGTGCTGCATGGGGTTTACTTTCTGTTAAGCCTCAAGAGAACTCTGAGGAAGGTACAGTTTTCCTATATCTCAGGCATTCTCAGGAGTGCTATCATTTGGCAGTATTCCATGAAGCTAGTTTTCTGCCAGAGTTAATGAAACTATTGCATGGATCACAGTGCTACAAACCTAATACAGCAAAGCATCTATAAAACCAAAGCTCTGTCCATATTTAGTATTATTTCTTAGGAATATATTTTCAAAAGAGGCATTTGCAGGTTAAAGCATATGAATGAATATATTTAAGGCTCTTTATTAAGGAATATGCTATTCTGTTTTGTTTCTTACCATATGAGACTAGAGAGAGAGAATAGAGACAGGAAAAGATGGCAAGTATAAAACCTGCCCCAGCTCCATCAGTGCGAAAAGTACACAATGAGATTCGATGGACAAGAGGGAGAGCACTTATTACCCGTAGGCCAACAAATGGCAGGAGTATCATATGGGAGGCCAGTTCCCCCAAACCCAAGTCCCACTGGGCAACCCCATGAGTCCAGATGCAGGCAGTGAACTGGGAGGCAGGTAAAGAATCTGGGGCTAAGTGCTCAGCATCTTTCGTATGGAGCAGCAAACAAGCTAGTCCCTTTCCCCTGGGAAGTGAGCAATTGTGCCTTCTCATGCCTTGATTGCTGTAGCCTACTTAGTTGCTTACAGATCAGTGAAGGAAGTGGCTCAGAGTTAGAGGGCAGGTAGGTCTTGCATTTTGGCATACTCAGCAGGGATATGCAGGAATCCCTTGCCCCCATAAGCTTATATTGTATAATCACTGAGTAATGTCTATTAATATGGATGGACTATGGTTTATGTAATTTGTGATTTTTTATATTAATTGTTGTTTTTTTTTTAGTTGACAGACCTTTCAGTCCTCATTTCACATTGATCTGCTCAACATTCAAAGACTGACTTTCACACCTGTGAGACAAAATAGTTTATGTAAGAAGCTATATTTGCTCATTCTGCTTGCCAGCAGAATGTCAGAGAATCTTTGGCAGTCAAATTTCACAAATCCCTTAACTCAGTGACTAAGTGCAGCCCCTGGAAGAATGCCGCTGAAGATGATGACATCTCTTGCATGAATCTGTTCTTGCAAAAGTTCAAGGATCCTAACTCATGCCTCTTCCTGTACATAATAGGATAATAACTGATAGGATTAATGATTATGCCTTTATAATCTATAACCAGATGTACCCTTGGACCCCACCCTTGATGAGATTTTGCTCAAATGTAACTGCTGAGCTCACCTGATGCAACTGCTGAGCACATCTGATGCCACTTCCCATCACATGCCACCTAAGCTTTGGAGCAGTCTCACAGAGTCTCTGAAAGACTCTCCCGAATTGCAGTTCTCAGTAAGACATCTGAATACAACTAATTTTAACTATTTAAATGACTACATTTTTTTTCTTTGGTTAACACACCCAACTAAAAACGAACCGCTCACATCATGTCCGGCAGTTACAGCAAAAGCAGAAACGTACTGGAGAGGGGAGGAGGTGGACTTGGGAGAGAAGTCAGTTTTCCCCCAGAATCTTTCTCTCTCATCAGTCACAGGTTTCTGAACACACTGACTCACCAGGAAACATTTCTTAGGTTCTCCAGGAAAACACTAAGTAACTTCAGAAATTGTAAAGGTCATGGAAAACATTATGTTATATATTTCCGTATTTCCACGAATACGCGGGAATCCTCCCAAGCCCCTGGCACCGCACTCCAAATGTCCATCTCCAGGAAGCCGCCCTTCAGTGCCCGGGGCCCTCTAAACAATGTTTCAGTCCTCGGGCTCCGTGGCTGCGTCCTTCACTGGGGAACGCGGGGGCTGCCCGTGCCCCTCCAGCTGCTTCCGGAAGGGAACGGCGCCCCGGAGCGAGCCTGTCTCGGACTCCCAACCGTCAGCCTCGCTCCGGGCCGCGGAGGCCGGAGCAGCTCCCCCGCGGCAGCGCAGCCGCTCGGGCCGGCCTCAGTGGGCCGAGTGGTCGGGGCATTGGGGCTGGTAAGTGCCTGGTCGGGGCGCGCTGTGAGCTGCCGGCCCCTGCCCGGGAGGCCCTGCTGCAGCCGGGTTCCCCGCCCCCTTTCCTTCTTTTTAGGTGACTGGAATCCACGCTACAGTTCAGCCCTCCACCTCTGTTGGTTGAACTCAGGGAACCCCCGCTTCAAAACTCCAGCTGAGTCACTGCCCTTCGTCAGTCTCTTCACTGGACATCTAAGTTACTTCACACCTACTCCTGGTTTTGAGAATAGAAAATCAAATACCGCACGTTCTCAACTATGAGTGGGAGCTAAGCTATAGCTGCGCAAAGGCATCCAGAGGGGTATAGTGGACTTTGGAGACTCAGAAAGGGAAGGGTGGGAGGGGGGTGAGGGATGAAAAAACTACATATCGCGTACAATGTACACTACCTGGATGACCCTGAAATCGCAGACTTCACCACTATCCAATGCATCCATGTAAAAAAAAACCCACCTGTACCCCAAAAGCTATTAAAATAAAAATATATACATATATATACATATATGCATATATTTTTTTGAGACGGAGTCTCGCTCTGTCACCCAGGTTGGAGTGCAGTGGCGCGATCTCAGCTCACTGCAATCTCTGCCTCCCAGGTTCAAGCCATTCTCCTGCCTCAGCCTCCTGAGTAGCTGGGATTACAGGCGCCTGCCACCACGCCCAGCTAATTTTTTTTTTTTTTTTTTTTTTTTAGTAAAGACAGGGTTTCACCGTGTTGCCCAGGCTGGTCTCGAACTCCTGACCTCAGGTTATCCACCTGCCTCAGCCTCCCAAAAATCTGGGATTACAGGCGTTAGCCACCGCACCCAGCCACACACCTATATATTTTTTAAAATTCAAAAATAAAACAAAAAAATACCTATCCTTCCAGGCTTATTTCCCGTTCCTCTACCCTTCTCATTCCCCTCTAGCCCAAAAGTCTCATCACTGAATTTACTACTTTTCCCAAGCTAGTTGTGTCTGTTTTTGCTTCTCTGCTTTAGTACCCCACTGTCCCCACCTTCTGCCTAGAATGTTTCTCTCTCCCATCTTCTCCTGACAACTCTTCTTTAGACTTGACTCGTGTGGTACCTTTTCTGTCAAGTTTTTTTTTTCCAGAAGTTTTGCTGCCTGCTGAGCTCCCTTAGCCCTTCGTTAATTCACTTGTCATTGACATTGACCATCTTGTGTTGTATTCAATAGTCTGTCACACCGATTTGATTGTGCATTTTACTTTGGAGAAGTCCTTAGTCTTTTATGTAGCCACAGTGGCCACACATGCAGAAGACGCGCAATATTGTTGAATGAACTAATGCATTTGGGACAGGGTTACAGAAATGGGTGCAGGAGAAAAGGGGGTGGTTGAATTGGCTGTACCCAGCACACAGGTATGCAACTTGCTCACTTACTGTAGTATGCCTAGGTGTGGAGGAGTCCAACACCTGGGAATGCTCCTGAAAATAACTAGGGATGACTTTGTGGAAGTTCACTGAATGCTTAAAATTAAACTTAAGGAGAACGGATGGTGGGAATTGAAAATGATTGCATCTAGCCTGGGCTGCATAGTGAGATCCCATCTCTACAGAAAAACCAAAACCCAAACCAAAAGAGAACAGCCAAATGTGATTGCGTATGCCTTTAGTCCTAGCTACTCGGGAGGCTGAAGTAAGGGGATCGTTTGAGCCCAGAAGGTGAGGACTGCAATAAGCCGTGCTCGCATCACTGTGCTCCAGCCTGCACAACAGAGCAAGTTGTCTGTGAAGGAGAGAAGGACCCAGAGAAAGTGAACAAGTGTTGATGCCACATTCACTTCGTGCTCTATGGGTCAGCAGAATGTGAATGCTTGGGGGTAGATTTGTAGGGAATTTTAGGTCCTAATTTTTTTTTTTTTTTAAAGACAGCCTCTCACTCTGTCACCCAGACTGGAGTGCAGTGGCACCATCTTGGCTCACTGCAGCCTTGACCTCCTGGGCTCAAGCTATCCTCCCTCCTCAGCCCTCCAAGTAGCTGGGACTACAGGTGCATGCCACCACGCCTGGCTAATTTTTTCCATTTATTGTCAAGACTGGGTTTCTCCATGTTGCCCAGGCTGGTCATAGATGTTACTATATATGATATGCACACATATAATACAACTAAAATGTACACATGACTTTTTTTTTTTTTAGAAAAGAACCATACTGAAAGTTAGAAAATTGGAAAGTAAAAATTCTTCTTCTACTTCCCTTCTTCAATCTCTTTCACTCAAAGTGATTCTTGTTAATAATTTATTGTGTATTCTCCCTAGAAGACTTATACGGCACTTTATCAAATCTAAACTATTACTGATTACAATTTTTTTGCAATCCTATACATGCAAATTAGGTATTTTATGTAACTGCATAAAGAAAAAAGTGCTGAGAAACAAAAAAAAATGCTGTAGATTAAACCTTCTTAAAGTATGCATCTTAGAATTGATGAAATACCATATGTACACATATACACACTTTAAAACATTTATGGGATGGTGTTATTATGCAATGTATCTTGCTTTTTTTATGTAACAGTATGTCTTGGAGAGTTTTACATATCTGCGTATATAGCCCTACCTCATTCTTTGTATTGATAATGATGCATTAAAATTTTATTGAACAAAGGTAGTACAGAACAATTAGTGGGCCCTTCATTGAGGGACATTTTGGTTGTTTCCAAGGTGTGTGTGTGTCTGTGTGTTTTCTTGCTTGTTTTTGCTATTACAAACATGTTGTAGTGAACCACCAACCTTGTGTGTATGTGTGTGTGTATATATATAGATATAGAATATCTATATATATATAGTTGGTAAGATTTTTTCATTTTTGCTGTAGTTTTAAGGAATTCCTCTATATAAAGTAGTTGCATACATTTTCTAACTTAAAATTAAATAATTGCATCACTCTTTGGAAATCATAAGTTGATCTTTTAGTATTTAGAGTTTGTTACCTGCCAAGGAATATTTGACACTCAAAAACCATGTAGAAAATGCATCTCAAATTACAGTATTTCATTGGAGGGAAGATTCTACAATTTTGTTAAGCAAAATCTCTCCAAAATGGCAGTGATCATGTATTTATATATTTCTTTGGGAATCTTAGATATATGATCTATTTTAACAAAATTTAAACTGTAACAAATTATTTATAATTTATTTTTTTCTGACACACAGTAGAGACTAATCCCTGATTATCAATTTTCAGTGTTTACAGACACTCGTATTCACAGAAACAAAGTCTGTATGTCAGTGTTCACAGTCACAAAAGTCTGCTTATATAAAAACTACATTTATTACTTATTTTAACAGATTCTGAATCCTTGCTGTTTGTGGTCTTTTGGAATAATGAATATGATATGATGTAGTTCTAAACTCTTTTTTCCCAGCTAAATTTTCCCTGATTTGGCCTGTTCATAGCTTTTTATAGTTTACCTCTTTACTTCTCTGTTTACATTTCTTCCCTCTGCTTCTTATTGACTCCTACTCACCCTTTAAGGCCAACTAATGTTCAAATCCTCCATGAAATCCTCTTTGTCAATTTTGTCCACATTTATCTCTTCCTTCTTTAAATTCCTTTTTCAGCAGAACGTCACAATTTAACATTCTTGATTGATTCATATAGGTGACTTTATCTTCTAAATGAGACTGAATTCTTCAGGAATTCTTGTCTTGGCTGGATTTCAGGCAAGATATCTAGGGGGTGCTACATTAGCTCTGGTTGTTGAGTATTTGTGGCTTGAAGTAGTCTTTTTTTTTCAACTTTTATTTTGGATTCAGGGGATACATATGAAGATTTCTTACAAAGGTTTATTGCATGATGCTGAGGTTTGGAGTATGATTAAACCTGTCACCCAGATAGTGAGCATAGTACCCAATAGGTAGTTTTTCAACCCTCACCTCCATCCTTCCCTTCCCCCTCTTGTACCCCCAGTGTCTGTTGTTTTCATCTTTATGTCCATGTATACCCAGTGTTTAGTCCCTACTTATAAGTGTGAACATGAGGTATTTGGTTTTCTGTTTCTGCGTTAGTTCACTTAGGATAATGGCCTCTAGCTGCATACATGTTCCTTCAGAAGACATGTTTTTTTTTTTATGGCTGCACAGTATACCATGGTGTATATTTTTTCATCCAATCCACTGTGAAGTTGTATTCTTAAGACAAGAGGCGGGGCTTCTCCAGAGACCTGGAAGAGGTGTAGCTAACGCAGCTGGTCATCACAGCCTACTCCCTCTAGTGTCAGAGGAATGCCTGGGCTGCTGTTTCACAGATAGACACCTATTCTGCCCAGCATTAGACTTGCCACCAAATATTTTTACTGTGAATGGGCTAACCATTAAGGTGCAGCCCTAAAACCCTACCAAGCTAAAAAATGCACCCTGACATTGTGTTTCAAAATGGTGGCATAGAAGCAAGCTGGCTTCTTCTCCCTTACCACCAGAAAATGGAAACAAACACACGATGTTAAGATTATCACCAGCAATATCCCAAAACTCAGATATAAGGATGAGATCATTTCTAGTACCACAGAGAAGTGAAAAAACCTCTAAGCAGATGGTAAGAGAATTGGACTTCCATAGCATGACACTCCTTATCCCCAGTCTGCCTGGCACCAGGCAAATGGAAAATTTCCCCCAGTCTTATGGTTTCTCTAATGGGCAAAGTGAGATTGAAGTGAACAACCAACTTTCCTACCATCTTGGGTTCCATGGCAGGAGATCTGTTCCTGCCTCAATCCACAGGCAGTATCAACAGTACTAAAGGGAGAAATATCCCCGAGGATAGCCAGAGACGAAGGAGGGAGATGGGACTACCATCCCCAGTCCTGGAAACTCTGCTCTGTAACTTGACCAAAGAAGACACCAAATCAGAGTTGCTGTTTGGCAGTACCATGCTGTAGGAAGCTCATTCCCCAGTTCCCTTAGGCATGAACCCCTAGCCAGCATTCCCACACTGCTGGGATAATCCCTTTAGGACTTCCCCCATTTTGGATGGGCAGCAATCTGATTACTAGAACTGAGGCAAACCGAGGCTTCAGCTGACATGTAGTGCTGGAAATGAGTCAGTGACCTAGTGAAAAAGAAAAGAAAATCCACAGGTAAATTATAAAGAGTCTCTAAGCAGACATATCCAATAAAAACCAAAACCAGCCAGAGAAGATTGGAGTAAATAATTAATCCTTCAACAAAAAGACATACACATACATTCACAAGAAACAATAATAAACAGAGGATCATGACCTCTTCAAAAGGACAAAGCAAGAAACCAGCAACTAACCCTAATAAGAATGCAATATGTAAACCCTCTGACCAAGAATTCGAAATAGCAGTTTTAAGGAAACTCAGTGATCTCCAAGATAACACAGAAAAACAATTCAGAAATTTATCAGAGAAGGTTAACAAAGAGATTGAGATAAAAAACCCATAAATTTTGGAATTAAGAAATACATTTGCTGAGCTAAAAAACTTACTAGAGGTTCTCAACAGCAGATCAAGCAAAGAAAGAATCACTGAACTCAGACAGGTTGTTTGAAAATGTGCAGAGGAGACAAAAGGAAAAAGAATGAAGAGGAACAAACATATAGAAAATTACCTCAAAAGACCAAGTTTAAGAATTATTGAGTTTGTGACCAGCCTGAGCAACAGAGTGAGACCCTGTCTCAAAAACTGAAAAATAAAAAAATTAGCCATGCATGGTGGTACATTCCTATTGTCCCAGCTACTCAGAAGGCTGAGGTGGGATGATCACTTGAAGCCAGGAGCTTGAGTACTGGTACTGTTTGGCAGTACCATGAGACCAGTCTCAGCAACATAACAAGACCTTGTCTCTACGAAAAATAAAAATAATAAATAAATAAATACATAAGCCAGGCTGGTGGCATGCACCTGTAGTCTTAGCTACTTGGGAGGCTGAAGTGGGAGGGTCACAAGCTTGGGAGGTCAAAGCTGCAGTGAGCTATGATCATGCCACTGCACCTGAGCCCAGGTGGTAAAGTGAGGCCCTGTCACAAAAGAGAAAGAGAGAGAGAGAGAGAGAGAGAGAGAGAAAGAGAAGAGAAAGGGAGTGGGGAGAGGGAAGGCTAAAAAAACCCTGCCGATAGTAGTTTGGGAACAATGGTTTATGTTGACACATTCTAGGGGCAGTGGGTGGGTAAACTGGTTAACTGGCAGCTAAAAGATAGGTCAATTTGTCCTTGAGTAGGCCAATTAAGGGTATCAAACAAACAATTACAGCTGTTTATGAGTTCTCTGGAAAACTTGGAAAGGGCAGTTGTGGGGCATAGATGACAGGCTGGCTCTGTGTCGTGTCTGCTGGTGACCCATTGTAAGAAGCTCCATCTTACTTAGGCCAGGTCTGCATCTGTGTCCTCAGAATTTCTCACTAGAAGCCTCTTTTTCTGTCTTCTTACGTGTTTGGGAATGTATCCTTTTGTTCTCCAAATATTTACTATTATTTTGGTTTCTGAATTTTAACCACATCCTGAAAACATATTTATTTGGTTGGAGGCATCGTTACTGTCCTACAATATGATTTTTGTCTGTAGCTGACATCTCTTCTTCCACTGGCGTCCCCTAATTTCCATGGTTATGTGCTCATTACTTCTACACTTCTTTATTATCAGAGCTTTTCTGATTAGGTAGGCTACATTTATGCTTTCTATAGTACCGTTGCCTCAATAAATAGTCACAATCACTTTTCAGTGTGGACTTTCTGTTTGGTCTTGGGGTTATTTATTTTGGCTGCTAAGAGGATGTTTTATGCTTTTATGGTAGATGAGATGGCAGACAGTAGAATGTCTGATTGATGAACTGTATTGCATCACAGAGTTCCTTGAAGCAAGGAACATTTAGAGTTCACGAAGTTCTTTGCTTGGTCTCTTGCACAGTGAGTACCTTGGCAGTGATCTACACTCTGTCCTCTAATTTAGTGGCTCTCAATCATTTTTTAGCCCTAAGGTACCTGAGGACAGGTGCCCTCCCATGAATTGCCGGGGTTACTATGGCAGGGATGCGATGTGCGTGGAGGGACAGTCCCCTAGGGCCATAACATAATCAGGAGGAGCACTTAAAGTTTGAAAAAGCTCCCAGGTGTGTGTGTTTGTGTGTGTGTGTGTGTGTGTGTGTGTGTGCTGTCCTCACTAAAAATATCACCTCTCCCGCCCCATAAACTAAGCTTCCTTAGATAACATGGCAAGGCAGAACTTGATGATTTTGCTGCTTGCCTAGCTAAAACGGGAGGAATAAAAACGTACAACACTCAATTTACTGTAGTTTTAAACGAACCTCTGTTATAATTCTAGGTTTTGAAGCATAACGACGGAGGATGGAGAAGGATGCTGAAGAAGGCGGCGCCCCCTCTGAGGGAGCAGAGGCTCCTCCCTCCACGGAAGAGGCTGGCCCTCCCCGTTCAGAAGAGGAAGAGGCCCCGCGCCCTCCAACGGTGGAGGCTCCGGCGGAAGATAATTTCTCCCTTTCCCCAGAAGATGATGTTCCTTCTGTGGTGGATTATCGGGATCTCATTCCTTCTGAAGAAGGGATAGTTCTTCCGGGTGATGATGAAGCGGATCTGAATAGAGTTCGATCCAGGCTTGCACAGCGACCGGTTCAATCACTGATTTCGGAAGTGCTGTCCTCCCATTCTTCCCGGCGGTCCTCCAGATACCGCCGGAGTATGAGTGGCCTTCCCAATCTGCAGGAAACATTAAAAGAGAGACAGGTTTGCTTCTGATAAGATTTTTCATGCGTGCCACTTTCCTTTACAAATACGAAATACTTTTGCTTTACAAAATATGAAATAGTTTGATGTTTTCTCTGCAGAATTGCAATTTTGACGCTTGGTTTTCATTCCTTAGGCAAGATTTAGAGAGGCAAGGGAAAGCCGAAGACAGAGAATTGACCCTTCATACAAATATATATTTGAAATTCTAGCAGGAAATCTTGGCCTGGACATTAATTCTGTGGAAGAATTAATTTTGGATTGTCCATCTGTAAGTTTAAGTCTTATCATTATATTTTAATTGCTCTTTGAGTAAGTGATTAACTTAGGAAAACAGAGTTGTCCTAAACAACAACAAAAATCATTTAGAAAGACAAAGTTGGGGCAGGGCATAGTGGCTCATGCCTGTAATCCCAGCACTTTGGGAGGCTGAGGTCTGAGGATTGCTTGAGGCCAGGAGTTTGAGAGTAGCCTGGGCAACATGGCGAAACTCCTGTCTCTGCAAGAAACACAAAAATTGGTTGGACGTGATACACTGTACCTGTGGTCCCAGCTACTCAGGAGGCTGGGGTGGGAGGAACTCTTGAGCCTGGGAGGTGGAGGATGCGGTGAGTACTCCAGCCTGGCTGACAGAGTGAGATCTTGTCTAAAAAGAAAAAGATTAAAGTTGGAATTTTACTGACTAGAGGAGAAGATTTCGTTTATATAATTATAGCCAGTTGAATGGTATTTCTTTTTAAATTAAATTAAATTAATTTGTTTGTTTGGGACGGAGGCTCGCTCTGTTGCCAGGCTGGAGTGCAGTGGCACGATCTCGACTTACTATTTAACCTTGACTTCTGGATTCTCCTGCCTCAGCCTCGTGAGTAGCTGGGACTACAGGCATGCGCCACCATGCCCAGCTATTTTTAAATTTTTTGTATTTTTAGTAGAGATGGGGTTTCACCATGTTGGCCAGGATGGTCTCTAACTCCTGACCTCATGATCCGCCCACCTTGGCCTCCCGAAGTGCTGATACAGGCCTGAGCCACTGCACCCGGCCCAGCTGAATGGTATTTCTAGTCAGGTTTACTGTTGTGGAGGAAGAAGAGAAGACTTAGCAACTAGAATTTTGGCTAAACTTCTAGCTTAGAATGATGTCAGAAGTTAGAGGCATAGTTGAGTGACGGTAGGTAATATTTTGCAAGTACAGATTATATGAACTACATATGCAAATCACTTGTAGAGAAAAACTGCATAAATAAGTCAGGGAACAGTGACTATTGTATGAGTATACGGTAGTAGAAATAGTGATGTGATTGCAGGTCAGGTTACCATATGTCTCAGTGTGCCAGGGACAGTTCTGGATTATACCTATTTTCCTGGCATGATTAACAGTACCTCCTGACACTACTAAAAGTTTTGGATGATAAATTGATGTGGTCACCCTAATTATAGTAATGTATGATACACTTGTGTCATAGCTTCCCTCCTCATAGCTTGGTTCTAAGATAATTTTCAATAAAACTACCACTAGCTTCTTGGGCTTTTTCTCAACCCTAGGAGTGGACTGGGCTGGTATCCCAGAAAGACCAGTGAGCAGGTGCAGACTGCTGGTGAGCGGATTTTCTCACTGAATGCACTGGTGGGAGAGTTGGGGTGAGGTGGGGTTGTGGTGAGGTTGTCATCGTGGGGGCCATATCCCCTGCTTTTATAGGGGTCATCAAACATGGGCAAAACTCTTTAGCTTGCTCTAGGAGCCAGGGTTCTATGGAACAGTGCCTAAAAGAGCTACTCCCGGCCGGGTGCAGCAACTCACACCTGTAATCCAAGCACTTTGGGAAGCTGAGGTGGGCAAATCACTTGAGGTCGGAAGTTCAAGACCAGCCTAACCAAAATAGTGAAACCTTGTCTCTACTAAAAATATAAAAATTAGCTGGGTGTGGTGGCATGTGCCTGTAGTCCCAGCTACTTGGGAGGTTAAGGCAGGAGGATCACTTGAACCCAGGAGGCAGAGGTTGCAGTGAGCTGAGATTGCACCACCAGACTCCATCCTTGGCGATACAGTGAGACTCCAACTCATATAATAATAATAATAATAATAATAGTAATAATAAAGAGCTACCCCTTGCTTCATATAGTGCATTGCTAAATTCTGCAAAATTGTCTGGGCTTCATGTCGTCCAGTATCCTTATAAGAATATGGTCCTGGCAGTTCCCCGACAGTAGGAATGGGATTGCTCATTTTCTTGATCCTGTTGTGTAGCTGTAATAGTTAGATGGGGATGTGATTGATGCAAAGACATCAATAGCTCTAAGCTATTATAATGACAAAGTATATAGAATTCATGGAGATGTGTACATAAAACAAGAGGTGTCACAGCAAGCAACTGGAAGTAAGTTGTGGTTTCCCAGGTCACCAAAGTTCCCTGCTGGAATTTACTGCTGTGTTCAAGGCTGGCTTCATGGATATATGGGCTGTGTAGTTACAGAGGCCCCTGTGCTTAGAATGTCACTGTGCTTGGTTTGATGATCTTTTGTCACCATTTTGAAGTTCTTGATAATTCTTTGGTAAATGTCTCTCATTTTCATTTTGCACTGGGTTCATCAAATTCTGTAGCTGGTCCTGACTGTGGACAATGCCAACCAAATAGTAAGAGGATTTTCTTTGCCATTCTCAAGTTGGGTTTGTTTGTTTTAATGGTCTCCTTTCCCCAATGAGTTCTAGTTTCTGTGACGATTCTGGCTACATGTCTTTCTAGCCTTTCTAAGCAACTGGTGCAAAACAACCTTATATGCATCCCTGAGATAATGACAATGAGAAGAAGGCGAGGCCAATTTCTAAAAAGTCATTTCTTAGTAGGCCCAGGCTTCAGGCCTGTCCCGAGGATCATTCCTGCATTTGGTTAAGGAGGAAGGAAGATAAGTGATCGATTTTGTTTCACCTGAAAATTGCTGGGCCACAAATTTGGATAACACCACAACTGGAATCCCTATACCTTCTGCAAAGGGTATAGGCATAGGCATTGTGTCCTGATCACTGCCTTCATGAAAGGGTAACTGCTAGAACTAAGGTGGGGTGGGGGAGGTGGGCACCTGCAGTAATCCAACCTTAAGTATTTGCCATCTGGATTTCTGGGCTGGTATTCTCTGTTTGGAGGAATTTTTACTGGCTAGCATGCTACAGTAGCATGTGCCTACAAAGCCTTCTATTTGCTATTCCTGGGATATGTCTCAGACTTTGGGTCCATGTGGTTAGATTCTACTTTCAAGGTCATTATGGTCCAGGCCAGACACTGCTTAGGCTGCAAGGAATGGGAAATGCAGGCATTAAGGAAGAATCAAGCTGCCAAAGGTATTTCCTTAAAAGTTGCTTGTGAGTGTACAAAGCCATAGTGGAGGGAAAATCGTGTACCCAGTAGGGAAACCAGTGTCAAAATCTGAAAGATTAGAATGCTTATTTGGTTGTGGGGAAAAGGCAAGGACATATGATAGGTTGGATCAAGGTTGGTGACCACGTGAGTAAGGAGATGGAACAAGAAACAAGGGGTGGCATGATTTGGTGTGGTGCAGTTTAGGAAATTGGGGGTATATGGAAAAGTATTCTTTAGTTTTTTGTTTTTTATTTTTTTATTTTTATTTTTTTTGAGACGGAGTCTCCCTCTGTTACCCAGGCTGGAGTGCAGTGGTGCGATCTCAGCTCACTGTAACCTCCACCTCCCAGGCTCAAGCGATTCTCCTGCCTCAGCCTCCTGAGTAGCTGGAACTACGGGTGCATGCCACCACGCCCAGCTAATTTTTGTATTTTTAGAAGAGACAGGGTTTTGCCATCTTGGCCAGGCTGATCTCAAACTCCTGACCTCAAGGGATCCACCAGCCTTGACCTTCCAAAGGGCTGGGATTACAAGTGTGAGCCACCACGCTGGGCCTGGAAAAGTATTCTTTTAATGTGAAGCCTGGCGTGCAATCCAGGATGAAAGCAGCTCAGTAAAGGCACCACAAAAAAGTGGACAACAGACGGTATGATGGTTACTTTGTTTGCCTCTGGATCCATTCTCCCTTTGTCTCTGTCCTGCTCTGTGGCATAGAAAGCTGAATGCAATAGAATCTATCACGTGGGCTCCCTTGCTCTCCGGTTTCCACTTGTTTTAGCCTCTGGGAGGCACAGCAGGAGATGGGACGGCAGAAGGGGAGAGAAGCTCCCCACCTGGCCCTGTTCCTGACTGTGGTTGTCTGCTGCCATAGTTGTAGCTCCCTGAGCAGCCTGCATCTCCAGTTCTCAACCTGGCCCTAGTCATTCTGTTTCCTCTAGCTCTCAACTCTTTAGGCCTTGGGGTATCACGGGTTTCCTTTGTTGCTAGTCCCATTGTTGCTACTAGTGCTGCAGTTTCCTTTAATCCTGCTCTAGCCTCTAGAAATAGTCTTTTATTTTATAAACAAAATAGCCTTTTTATTTATAAAGTTTTGTCACAAAACCCCTTTGGGTGTGAATTCTTTTCTTGCTAGGACCCTGACCAATACAGATGTTTCTGCAACATTGGCACTTTTACCCCTTCCCACTTTCCTGCCCCCTTTATTCAGCACTGCTCAAGATAATCTCTTTTCTGGCTTACTGGCAATGTTTTCCAGTGACTGGGTGGCACGGTTGTGGTACTGTGGAAGGAGCACAAATTTGGACACCCAAGGCTGAAGTCCAATCCCAGGTTCTGTGCTGTGCTTGTGTGTTTTGTGTCCTTCACTTACATATTTTTTTGTTTTCTTTTGAGACAGACTATCGCTCTTTTGCCCAGGCTGGAGTGCAGTGGTGTGATTATAGCTCACTGCAGCCTCAACCTCCCGGCCTCAGGCCATCCTCCAACTTTAGCCTCCCAAGTAGCTGGGACCATTGGCACATACCACCATGCCCAGCTAAATTTTTTGGTATTTATATAGAGAGGAAATTTCACCATGTTTCTCAGGCTGGTCTTGAACTCTTGGGCTCAAGCAATCTGCCCACCTGGGCCTCTCAAAGTGCTGGGATTACAGGGGTGAGACACCGAACCTGGCCTACTTAAATTCTTTTTACTTTAATTTTCTCTTCTGTAAGAAGGGTATAATAATGCCATTTTAACTAGGTGATACTCAGATGAACTGTTGGTAAAATGCTATGTAATATAAGTGAATTTTTAATTCACAGTCATGATTTTGGTCCATGATCTCACATTTCCTTTGCTAGTCTCATGAGTACAATGTATCTAAAATGCAAGGATTCATTGCATTTGATATTTTGATGTCTTTTTATCCCAGTCATGTGCACTGCTTTTGAGAATTTGTGTGCTTTCACAGCTAAAGGGTCAGCAAGAAAGTACTGATGGAGCTGTGCAAGAAGAACTATGTGGACAGCTTTTGTCCCTTTTAGGTGGTAATTATGTGAGACCCAGGTGTATACGGGAGGTGGAAGAGTAGAGAACTAAGGGCTAGAGTTACGCACATCTTGGTGGCTTTGTTTTATCTCCCAGGGTGATGGTTCTCAAATGTGGTCCCAGGACCAGTTGCATCAGCATCACCTAGAACCTGGTAGGAATGCAAATCATTTTGTGTTTTTAAAAAGCCCTCTGTGTGATTCTCTGATGCACACTAACATTTGAGAACACTGTCCTAGGAGGAGTGACTTTGCTACACTTGGGATACTTCCCCTAGGCCGTCAGTATATTAAGAGATACTGTGGCTGGGTGGGGTGGCTCACACCTGTAATCCGGGCATTTTGGGAAGCCAAGGCAGGAGCATCACTTGGGGGTCAGGAGTTCAAGACCAGCCTGGCCAACATGGTGAAAACCCATTTACTAAAAATACAAAAATTAGCTGGGCATGGTGGCAGAAGTCTGTAATCTCGGCTACTCGGAGACTGATGCCAGAGAATCTCTTGAACCTGGGAGGCAGAGGTTGCAGTGAGCTGAGATCGCACTCCAGCCTGGGTGACAGAGCGAAACTCTGTCTCAAAACAAGCAAACAAACAAACAAGCAAGCAAACAAACAAACAACTTCTGTATGGGAATTAGTGGGATTAGGTGAATGGGTATATGACTTTGTATTTCCCATAGGATATTTCAGGGCTTTTGTTTATGTTATCTATTTAGTTTTCTGTTTACTAAGATATTACACTGACTCCTAAGTAATTGAATAAAAACTTCATGCCCATAAATATGGAAGAATCTCAGTATAATAATTTGTTTTTACTTTAGTTTTGCTATAATATGGGTCAAATTACAATACCTAAAAACATAATTGCTCAAATAATTGGTCAACAACACAGTTAGTCAATAGGCAAATTTTCTGTTCCCCAAGTAAGCTTTTAAGAATAGTTTATCTTGGCCGGGCGCGGTGGCTCAAGCCTGTAATCCCAGCACTTTGGGAGGCCGAGACGGGCGGATCACGAGGTCAGGAGATCGAGACCATCCTGGCTAACACGGTGAAACCCCGCCTCTACTAAAAAATACAAAAAACTAGCCGGGCAAGGTGGCGGGCGCCTGTAGTCCCAGCTACTCGGGAGGCTGAGAAAGGAGAATGGTGTAAACCCGGGAGGTGGAGCTTGCAGTGAGCTGAGATCCGGCCACTGCACTCCAGCCTGGGCGACAGAGCGAGACTCCGTCTCAAAAAAAAAAAAAAAAAAGAATAGTTTATCTTAATAATAATTCTCTTATTAAATATTAAATATTAAAATATTTACCTCAAGTTGGACTCACCTATTTACCCCATATGATTCCTTGGGGCAGGGTCAGGTAAGTGGCTGCCCAAAACTATATATGTAGATCATTAATGTAGGTTCAGAAATATATTTCAACCTATATTATATTGCACAGTAATTTTGGTGTTAAATTAGTTTGGGTTCTAAGCTTGCCTTTATGTATCTTTGAATAAACTCTTTGAGCTTCTTCTTCATCATCTACAAAATACCAAGAATTTTCCCTTAGTCATTTGACTGATTATCATTTTCTCTTTTATTTAACAGCTGGAAGCATTTACTAATTTTTTTGTGAAAGATGGTTGTAAGACACTGAAATTTTTGTACCAAGAAGGAGATGTACCTGGTATTGGTAAGAATTTTATGAGGGCAATGTGCCAGTAATTAGTTCACGCACGTTAAAGTGCAGCATACTTTTTCTCTTATACATAGATAATCTTTTATTTATAAAGAAAATGTTACCAGAAGTTTACGCATAAGAAATATAGTGCCTTAAGAACAACACATTCTCAGCCCAAATACATGTTTCAGGCCTTGCTATAATGTTTCAGGAGAAAATATCCTTATAGAAATCATTGACCTCTGCTGGGAATACACATTTTCATTAGAATTTAATTGCATTTTCCCCGAAACAGGTGGAGCCATTTTGTCCAGATGATTAGAAGTGGTGGTGAAACCACTCCAGAGCCCCGCAGCTGCCCCCTGCGGTCCTGTCGCACCATCTTGTGCCTGCTGCAGCTGTCACTTGCAATAGCTGGGTTTCCCTACTGTGCATATTATGCCTGAACTAATTAACATACTACCAGCTTGTTCAAACTTTGTTTTAATAACTAGATATGTGGGTTACTCTTTTGGTCTGAGACTACTCATCATCAGAGTCCTGTGGATTTACCTTCAACACATCCCTCCCATTGCTTCTTTCTCACTTGATTCCTCTGCTGCCTCAGGCTAGGCCTTCCCTGGTGTTCCAGATTGAAAACCAGTATCTCTGTAATCAGATTCTCCCTCTGAAATCCGTACTGCTTATTCCTGCCAAATATATCTTTTATTGTTCCACTATTTATTGGATTGGCTCCAGATCTCATTTATTCAAGGCCCGCTGTCATCTGGACACACAGTGCTTGTCTAGTCTGATCTCCTACTCTTCCAGATGTGAATTTGCTGCTCTCTTTAAGCCCCTCTTCATTGCTTTCTGCATACTAGAGTTATTTCTTTTCCCCTTCTCTGCTCTCCTGGCTTTTCCAGATTGCTTTTCTTCTCTCCACTCAGCATACCCTAGCCCCCTCCTTCAGAACACCTCCAACAGAGCCCTTCCCAGGGTGTTCCAACCCACAGCCATGGCTATTCTCCAGATTCCTGTCTCATTTACAGTATCCGTGTAAATATAGTACTTGATTGTGTTCTTCTACCTTCCTCCAATTGTTTAATATTTAAGTCTTGCTTCTTTGACAAAATATGTAAACTCACAATTAGCAACTAGGTTGGCTTTGTGGATTTTCTGTCTCTCATAGTTCTTATCGTGGGAGGATTATTGTGTGGTCTGTATTTTTATAACTTGTTAAAAATTAAAACAATAGCTGAAAATTGAAGAAAGATAAAATATCTATAATTAGAAGCAAAATACAGTCCCAATCAGTTGGAGAAAACACTGTTAACTCAATGAATATTTCTCTATAACTGGTTTATATACGTATTTTACAAAAATGGGGTCCAATTCTAGATATTATTCTATAGTGGCTGTTTAATTTTGATAATATTGTCTTCTTTATGCCAATAAGTACATTTATCCAATTAAAATGTTAACACTTGCATTTTATTTCATTAGGATGATATAACTGTAATTTTCCAAACTGATCTCTCAGTAGAATTTAGGTTGTTTACAACTTTTCGCTCCCTGAAACAATGCCTCAGTGAATATTACTGAATACAAATCTATGTGGATTAGGAACAAATTTTAGGAGAAATTCTCAGAAGGGAAATTGCCAGAGCAAAGGGTACACATATTTTTAATCATTATTTTTGCTACTTACGAAAGTACATTTATCAGTTTGGTAAATATTCATCTACATTTCTTTGTTGTTGTTGTTGTTGAAACAGAGTCTCACTCTGTCACCCAGGCTGGAGTACAATGGTGCGATCTTGGCTCACTGCAACCTCCGCCTCCCGGTGCAAGTGGTTTTCCTGCTTCAGCCTCCTGAGTAGCTGGGATTACAGGCACACACCACTGCGCCCGGCTAGTGTTTTGTATTTTTAGTAGAGATGGGTTTTCGCCATGTTGGCCGGGCTTGTCTTGAACTCCTGGCCTCAGGTGATCCACCTGCCTCAGCCTCCCAAAGTGCTGAGATTTCATAGGTATGAGCCACCACACCCAGCCTACATTTCTTTCTTATATGCATGTGTTAACATATAAATGCTTATTATCAGCTAAAAATGTGGTTATATAATACATTTTATTCTTGACTTGGTGTTTGCATTTGACAGGGTAGCCTAGATATTTTTTTATGTCATTATATAAAGATTTATCTCATTCAAAAAATTTGGTATAATGTAACATTCCATTATACAGCTGCATTTAGAAATCATTCCCTATTGATGGTCACATCTCTCCTTTTCATCAGGAAAACTCAAGCTTGTCTTATGTCTTATCAGCCAGAACTGTGTCACATGGCTACCCTGGGGGCCAGGGAGGCTGAGAGAGCAGTTTTCTTTCTAGGGATGTACACAATGGGACAAAGTCAGGTTCTCTTAGCAAAGAAAAAGGGGAGGGTAGTAAATCCCTGTGCAGTCTCGATAAATGGGCATTTGGGCTCTTATATTGCTACATACCATGTATCAGTGTTCTTAGGCTGCAAGCAACAGAAATAGATCTGGCTTATATGAGCAGAAAACAGTGTTTTGGGAGGCGGAAGGTGGATAACAAAATTTAGAACCAGTTGAACAATCAGGTCTTCGGAAGGACAAGAATAGAGCATTTCCACAGATTTCAGGGCAGTTTCTGTAGGATTCATCAGTAGACTTCCATCTCTCAAATCCCTTTTTTTCTTTGTGTGTATTTATTCAAGGTTTATATTCTTGCAGAGTCTAATTAGTCTAGTTCTTACATGCCCACCTCTACGGAGCCCTGGCACTGGTATCCTCCAGAATCACAGGGCAGGAGAAATCTCCCAACCCCCCAAAAAAGAAAGGCTGGGCAGACAAAACATTTCTGTGGCTTTGTGATGTGGATATTCTATTTCTTTCTTTCCTTTTTTTTTTTTTTTTGAGATGGGGTCTCACTAGGTTGCCCAGGCTGGAGTGCAGTGGCATGATGATGGCTTATTGCAGTCTTGACCTCCCAGGCTCAAGTGATTCTCCCGCCTCAGCCTCCCGAGTAGTTGGGACTACAAGCACATGCCACCACACCTGGCTAATTTTAAAAAATTATTTGTATTGACAAGGTCTTGCTGTGTTGCCCAGGTTGGTCTCAAACTCCCGGGTTCGAGCAATCCTCCTGCCTTGGCCTCCTAAAGTGCTGGGATTATAGGTGTGAGACACTGCACCTGGCCGATTTTCTATTTCTTTTATTACATTTTAAATTGGCTATTGCTGCAAATAGAAGGCTGTTGATTTTTGCAAATTAACATTGTGACCAACTATCTAACATAATTCTTATATTTTTAATAGTTTTTCTAATTAAAAAAGATTGATAATTAAATGTTTAATTTTCATTGAAATTAGTTCAAGGAAGGATTTAATAGAAGGTGGATACAAAGAGTGTATTTAGTACAGGAACTGGACCTTCTTGGGGGAGTCAGTGAAGGCTTCCTGCGATGGTGGCATTTCCGCCGAGATCTGAAAGATGAGTAGGAATTTCATAGGTAAAAGGTTGGGGATGGGATAGGAGAACAGCTTGTGTAAGGCCCTGAGGCCAGGCCAAAAGGAACAGAAGTACAGAGTTCAGAGAAAGGTACCCAGAGGAGGCTGCAATTTAAGATGCAGTTATTGGCTGGGCACGGTGGTTCACGCCTATAATCCTAGCACTTTGGGAGGCTGAGCCAGGCAGATCACTTGAGGTAAGGAATTTGAGACTAGCCTGGCAAACATGGTAAAACCCTGTCTCTACTAAAACTACAAAAAATTAGCCAGGCATTATGGCGCATGCCTGTAATCCCAGCTACTTGGGAGGCTAAGGCACAAGAATCACTTGAACTTGGGAGGCGGAGGTTGCAGTGAACTGAGATTGTGCCACTGCACTCCAGCCTGGGAGACAGAGCAAGACTCCATCTAAAAAAAAAAAAAGGGAAAAAGATGCAATTATTGGGCAGGCATGGTGACTCACACCTGTAATCCCAGCACTTTGGGAGGCCGAGGCAGGTGGATCACCTGAGGTCAGGAGTTTGAGACCAGCCTGGCCAACATAGTGAAACCCCGCCTCTAGGAAAAAAATACAAAAATTAGCCGGATGTGGTAGCACACGCTTGTAGTGCCAGCTACTCAGGACGCTGAGCCAGGAGAATGGCTTGAAGGGAGGTAGAGGTTGCAGTGAGCTGAGATCTCACCACTGCACTCCAGCCTGGGCAACAGAGTGAGACTTTGTCTCAAAAAAAAAAAAAAAGATGCAATTATTGACATCTTCTAGTAGACCCCCCCAAAAAATTATTCTATGACCATATTGAAAACTTCTTACAATAAAGTAAAAGAGGAAACAATGGTGTAAAAGCCACAGTAACTTATCTCACTTGACTTGTTATGTGATGATATGCTAAGTTCTTGACTTTTGTTTTCAGAATGCGGTCGAACTATTCCTGGAGCAACTAAAGGGGCAAAAATGATGAAATTGTATATAGACAATGCAGCCCCGGATAAACTAAAAGGACTGTGCATATTTTTTGTTCGTTGCCGTAATGATGTTGCTATAAATGTTAAAACTGTTCAAGAGGTATGTTTAAAAATTTCCGCAAATACATAGTTAAACACTGAATATATTTTCATAGTCATGCTTTACTTTGCTTTCCCTTTTTAAATATAGGACTGAATTGAGTTCCAAGAAAATAAATGTATTCATATATTCAAAGAAATTGACTGTAATAGAGCTTAGTTATATTGATACTTTAGATACTGCTTTTAATTTCATGAAAATTTCATTTCTTGATGGTGTGCAAATAATTTTTATCCTCCCATTCACTAGGAAGACATTTAATTTTGTTGATGCAAAATACTAGTTACTTTATTTAACTTCCCCTTCACTCAATATTTTAGCTCTCTTACCGTTTTAAAAGAAGAAGAGAGAGTTGTCCTAGAGCCTGGACATTGCTAACCTAGTTCTGGGAAGGCAGGATGATGGAATGGGAAAAGCAATAATTTTAGCTGGATAGACCCAGATTTGCCTCTTAGCTTCACCACTGACTAATCACTTAAGTGTATCCTCTGGAAAGTTGCTCATCCTTTCTGAGACTTAGGTCTCTACATTCTTAAATTGGGAATAATAGTACACACCTGACAGGATTGTAGTGACACTAAATGATAGTAAAAACAAATTCTTATTATATTGCCTGACATACAGTAGGCTTTCCACAAGTTCTCTTTGTTATTCTTAGAGAGTCTTAATACCTTTTACAATGGGAAAGGGAACTGAAGTCTAATCTTGTTCCTTTTCTGTTATGATAAAAGAGAGCTTGTTTAGCTTTGTTTAAGATTTTAGGTTGGCAGTTATTTTTCCCTGACCCCTTGTAAATATTTCATGGTATTTCTTGTGGATGATGAGAGCACTCCTGTTGGTGTAATTCATAGGTAATCTGCCTTTTTTTCTTTCTGTTTGCTTTTGCTCTTTGTCTTCAAAGTCCTGTAGTTTCATCACAATGCCTCTATGTATGGATATTTCCTCAATTTGTCTTCCATTTCATTAATTCTTTCTTCAACTTATCCATGATTTCATCCATTCATTTTTATAATTTATCTTTTGTTTTAGCTCAGTTATATGTGCATGTAAAGAGAGAAAGAGTCCTTTTATGAAATAGTGTAAGTCTTTCATAACTGAAAAACTGACTTCTATTCTCCAGAAGCAACTATTAAACCCTTTTAATGGATTCTTTTATTTACCTGTATGTCTCTAAATAATATGCTCTGATTGCTTCTTTTGTCAATTTAGACATTATCTGTGGCCAGTCACGGTGGCTCACACCTGTAATCCTGGCACTTTGGGAGGCTGAGGCAGGCAGATTGCCTGAGCTCAGGAGTTCGAGACCACCCTGGGCAACAGACTGAAACGCCGTCTCTACTAAAATACAAAAAATAGCTGGGTGTGGTGATGCACTCCTGTGGTCCCAGCTAGTCGGGAGGCTGAGGGATGAGAATCACTTGAGCCCCGGAGGCAGAGGTTGCAGTGAGCTGAGATCACACCACTGCACTTCAGCTTGGGCTACAGAGTTAGAAAAAATAAATAAATAAAAGAAGACATTTTCTGCGGACTTTTCTCTCTGGAAGATGATAATTTAGCTCTTTTTCTACCTTCTGACCCTTGTTTCTCCATCCCTCTATTCTTCCAACATAGTTATGTTCTATTTGACTTAGCTAAATATTTGTTTACATCATTATAACTAAATGTAATCACAGATGAGCCATGTAATGTAACAGTGGTTCTTAAACTCAAACCCATTTTCATCATAATACTAAGATACTAGTTGCCCTTTTCACCAATGTTGACATTTGACTGATGGTGCAGAAGCAACGGTGGGAAAAACTACTGATACCTTGACACAAATCAAGATGACACCAAACTGTATGAGTAGTAATTGTATACTTTATTGCCACACACTCACAGTTAAAAAACTAGCAATCAATTTTTTGGTGGCTCTAGACAAGTTTTTTAATTTTAATTTTGACTTGTGATTTCTAAATCACTTAAGATGTATTAATTGAAATGTCACGCATGGGTGCTGGGCTTTTGATTTCTGGGCTTTTGGTTTCTTATGGCTGGTAATTTATCCCACCAAACTTCTGGACAAGGGCTTTTCACCAGAAAAAAAAAAAATCATGGACAGGGCAACTTTCAACTAAGGATTTTCTTTACGCAGGTTTGGTTCCATGTCCCTCACCTTGAATAGGCTCCAGGCTATTGCTCCTTTCCTATGCAGAAATTAAAGCACCAAATAAAACATCACTTTGATGGGCAAATATGGGAATAATTAAATTGGGGGCAGAATATAAGTTTGTTGACTTTAGAACGCTAAGGTTCATAACCACTTAAGATTCCCTAATAAAATGTGTTAGTTGTCTATGTTTATTGCAATATAAAACAGGTTGTGATTTTTCAGTTCTTCAGTGGGATTGGCATGTGGAATAACATTTAAACTCCACTCTTTCAGGAAGCGCTATTTACTGTTCTGGATGCATCGAAAGGACTCTTAAATGGAATTAGGGATATGTTGGCAAATATATTTCTACCAGCTGTTCTTGCAACAAATAACTGGGGTGCTTTAAACCAGTCCAAGCAGGGAGAATCTGAAAAACATATTTTCACTGAAACCATCAACAGATATCTTTCATTTTTAGATGGTAAGTATGAAAGTTAATGTTTAGCAAATTGCAGAAAAGAAGCAAATTAACTGAGATATTTCATAAACATTAGAGAAAAAGTTTCTATCTTAAAAGATGTTAATCAAAGTAATTATGAGACTTAGAGGTAAGAAATGAAATCATTAGAACTCATTTTTGAGGATCTTTGGTGGAGTAAGATATATTTTCTTTTTAATTTTATGTTATAGCAGGAGGAATCTTTTTCTATAATATTAATGAAAATTTTCACCATATTAAAATATATACTTCATTATGAACTCTTTAAAATCTATACTTTTGTTTTTTCATATTGTTACAATGTACAATTTTGTCAGTAAATTGTGAAGTCATAATCTAATGATTAATTAGAATTATATTTCTGTAAAGTATTAGATCTTTAACATTTCAGTAATTAGAGCATAAAAGTACACATTGACATTTAACACATTGACATTAAATACTTCTTAAAATTAAATATTATTTAATATTTTTATTAATATATTTAAAATATGTAATATATAAATTAGTATTAAATGTCTTTTTTTTCCTTTTTAGGTGCTAGAATAAGTATTGAGGGAACAGTGAAGTTAAAGACAATAGACAATGTTGATTTTTCCAAACTGCACACCTTTGAAGAAGTAACTGCTGCAGCCAACAATTCAGAAACTGTTCGTCAGCTAGAGGAAGTGCTGATGGTATGGTACAAACAGATCAAACAGGTAAATTGACTGAAACAATTGCATCTGGACTAGTAGTTTTTATGTGCGTCGTAGACATTGTATTTTATCTCTAAATGTAAAGGGAAGAGGTATCTCCTTTGACTTTCTTCCAGAATCTGGTTTGAAACTCAGCCAATTTTTGGCTCTAGAGCAAAATCATTCTTCTTTGTGGACCACTTAAAATCAATTTTAAGATATTTCTCACTTCAAGGAAGAAAACATAACAATATGGGTTGAGAATGAAAGAATGAAGAATCAGGAATAGCCATCATTTATCCCCAGTAATGTTTAAATTGTTGATACTCTCCATAAAAGAGAGAGGGAAAAGACACAGCGAAGAGCCAGAGTGCTAGACACTAAATAAGCACCTCTTGGTCGATCAGTGGAGTTGTCTGTGCTGTCAAAGAAGTTCAGACTAGGCGGTTTGACATCAGCATCACAGTGGCAAGCCTGCAGCTCTACGGTCAAACTTTTTCTGGCAGTAAGAAAAGTAGTGATAGGAATACAACATATGTCAAAATTTTGAGAGGCACCAACTTATGCTATAAACACTGTGAAAGAAAATCGGCTATTACATAATTGCCCTAAACAGAAAGAGGACTCTAGGAACCACCCCCCAGATCTCTAGTTCATCAGCACAGGACAGCAGAACTAGACAAGAAAATCTTCAGTTATGTGAGGATCAAGGGGAAAAAATCTTGACCAGGCAGGAGGTACAGAAAAGCATTTCCAGTTTTACCTTTCTAGAACTATGTTAGGAGGAGGGCTGTGCAGTTGGAGTGGCAAAAATTGGAGGACTCCCCTAGGGTCTAGAGTGCTGGCCACAGCATTCGCTTCCAGGTGTCATTAGATGATTGAAACGGGTAATTGCTCACTGGATAACTCTTGCAGCCACCGTACCCAGCCAAGACTTCCTATTTAAAAAAAAAAATCTTTGGTGACACTTGGAATTGTCAGATTTTTAGTTGTTGCCAATATGTTGAGTGTGAAATGATATCTTGGTTTACTTTGTATTACTCTAAATACTATTGAGGTTGAGCATATTTAATGGCTATTTTGGTTTCCTCTGTGTTGAATTGCTTGTTTATATCATTTACCCACATCATTGCCTGTTCATATCATTTATCCGTATCATCCCTTTATTCGTTTGGATGGCTTGATGTTATCTTACTACATTTTTGGAGGTTAAATAATATTTTCCAGATATTAGTCCTATGTTGGTCCCCATTGTGTCATGTTTCATTTGGTATAGTGCCTTTAGTCATGTGGAAACTTAAGTTTTTAATGTAGATAAATATATTAATTACAAATGTTAATCCAGCCTCAACCTAGCTATCCCCAGTGACTACAAAAACTCTGCTTTTTGTATTTACTTATGTATTTACTTATGAAACCCTTTCTTACTCCAGTGTTACGAAGACATTCTCTTAAATTCTTTATTTTAAATAGTGAATATAACACAGACCAAAAATGAATATGATGAAAGGAACAAACTGTAAAATGAACACCTGTGTAACCTTTGCACAAGTTAAAAAATAGAACAAGGCTAGGCATGGTGGCTCACTCTTGTAATCCCAGCACTTTGGGAGCCCAAGGCAAGAGGATTGCTTGAGCCCAGGAGTTCAGGACCAGCCTGGGTGACACAGTGAGACCCTGCCTCAAATTAAATAAATAAATAAATAAATAAATAAATGAAAGAAAGAAAAAACATAGAACATTACCAGCACCTTAAAATGCCCTTGCATTTCTCTTCCCAGTTTTAAACACCTTTTCTTCCCCCTAGTGGTAACTATTATCTTGACAATTATGCTTTTCAATTCCATGTTTTTCTTTCTAGTTTTACCCTGTCTCCTACATTGTCTTTTAGAAATGTTACCATTTTATTTTTAACATTTAGGTGTTTAATCCATCTGGAATTGTGTGTGTGTGTGTGTGTGATGTGAGGTAGAAATCTAATTTTGTGTTTTTCATGTACCTGTAGTTAGCCAATTGTCTCGAATTAAGATTCTCTGTTAAATTGTTTAATAGTCCATTTTTTTCCTAACAAATTTGTAATATAATCTCTGTCATATATAAAGTTGTTAGACCCCTTTGTTTATCCCACTGATCTATTTACTTATTTTTTATACTATGCTGTGCTGCTTTAATTCTGTAGCGTTTTTCTAAACCAACATTTGGCACGCCAAGTGTTTTCTGTTTTTCGTCAAAACTACATTGACTATTTCAGGCTAATTGTTTTTCAAAATTAATTTTGAAACCAATTTTTAAAGTATCATGAAAAACTCTATTGAGATTCTGATTAGAATTTCGTTGAATGTGTACATTAATTTAGAGAAAACTGCCATCTTTATATTATTGAATTTTCCATCCATGAACATGATATACCTCCCCATTTAGGTAGGTCTTTTGTGTGTGTAAAATAAGTTTCAAAATTCTCTCCAAAAAGGTCTTGCATATCTTTCATTAGATTAATTTCCAGTTATCACTTTTTTTCTTTGCTGTTATAAATTGTACCTTTTTGGAAATTAAATTTTCACATTGCAAGATACCTTGTAAAGAAGTGGTACTAATTTTTATGTATAGATCTAGCAACTTTACTAAATTGTTCACGTTTATTAATTGTAAAAAGTTTGTCTTTAGTCTTTTTTTTTTGGAGACAGGGTCTCATTCTGTCACCGAGGCTGGAGTGCAGTGGCATGATCATAGCTCACTGCAGCCTCCAACTTCTGGGCTTAAGTGATCCTCCCCCTTCAGCATCCTGAGTAGCTGGGACTACAGGCATGCACCACCACACCCAACTAATTTAAAAAATTTCTGTGGAGAAGGGGTCTTGCCTTGTTGCCCAGGCTGGTCTTGAACTCCTGGGCTCAAGCAATCCTCCACCTCAGCCTTCCAAAGTGCTGAAATTACAGGCAGGAGCCACTGCTCCCGACCTTAGATATGCTTGAAGTTTAAAAATGTATCAAACTATATCATCTGTGATTATGCTGTTTCTGTTTTTTTATTTCCAATTCTTATACCTTCTGTTTCTTTAGTTATCTTGTTCTGGGACATCTATTACCAGGTGGAATAGAAGTGGGTGGTGATTGTGGCAAACTTGTCATGTCCTTGGTTTTAAAGTGATGTTTTCTAAAATGTCACCTTTGGCCAGGGATGGTGACTCATGCCTGTAATCCAGACACTTTGGGAAACTGAGGCAGGAGGATTGCTTGAGCCCTGGAGTTTGAGACCAGCCTGGGCAACATAGTGACATGCTATCGCTACAAAAAATTACAAATTAGCTGTCTGTGGTAGCACTTGCCCATAGTCCTAGCTACTCAGTAGGATGAGGCGGGAGGATTGCTTCAGCCCAGGAGGTTCAGGCTGCGGTGCTCTCTGATTGTGCCACTGCACTCTAGTGTAGGCAACAGAGCGAGACCCTGCCTCAGAACAAACATACAAACAAAAAAGCCCCCAAACCAAAAAACTACGTTCCCCCCACCACCGAAAAAAACAAAACAAAATAAATAAGAGAAACTGTCACCTTTAAATATTACGTTTGCTGGAGAGTTTTAGTAGATAGTATTTATCATGTTGTAGAAGTTCTCCTCTAGTCTTCATTTACTAAGAGTTCTTAAACATTATTTGGTGTTGAACATTATTTATACTTTTAGCTGCTTTCAAAAAGATGCAATCAGATTTTAACAAAGAAGAATATAACATTTCTATATTTTATAAATTTTTTTTGATTGCAGGTACTTATTGAGAGTGAGCAGATGAGAAAAGAAGCTGATGATGCAGGTCCACTCACTGAACTGGAACACTGGAAACGCATGTCAGCCAAGTTCAACTATATCATTGAGCAGATTAAAGGGCCAAGTTGTAAGGCTGTCATAAATGTGCTAAATGTTGCACACTCCAAACTGCTAAAGGTAAAAGGCTTTTTATTTAAAGTTTGGTATACTTCAGAACAAGCAGCTAGAAAATTATCCTGTTGAACTACTTCTTAGTGTAATATACTGGAATCGTGTTTAGAAGTGTTAGCGTTTGAGTAAGACTTTTACATATATCACAATTATTTCCAGAAGAGGAAATGAAGATTTATTTCTGAGGATTTCACAGACCAATTTTGACCATACTGCTATGGGGTGATTTCTAGGAAAGTGATCATCTTTTATTTTTAAATTGTTTTTGAAATTGTAAATCAATGAAGAAAATCAATATAGGCTCGTTGAGGTAAACAACTGCATATAGAGTCAAAAGTAGAATACATCTCATCCCCACGATTCTACCTCTTTTCCTGGAGGTCATTTACAGTTTGGCTTGATTCTAGATCCTTTTCTTTTCTCTCTCTCTCTTTTTTTTTTTTTAAAAACAGGGTCTCATTCCGTCACTTAGGTGGGGTGTAATGGTGTGTTCACAGCGCACTGCAGCCTCCACCTCCCAGGCTCAAGCAATTGTCTTGCCTCAGCCTCCTGAGTAATTGGAACTAACGGGCATGCGCCACCATGCCTGGCTAATTTTCGTATTTGTTGTAGAGAAGGGATTTCACCATATTGCTCTGGGTGGTCTCAAACTCCTGAGCTCAAGTGATCCGCCCACCTCAGCCTCCCAAAGTGCTGGGATTACAGGCGTGAGCCACCGCACCTGACTTCTTTTTCTTTCTTTCTTTGTGTGTATTTCTTTCTTTGCACAGAAAAATAAACTAATACTTTTTTGGTGAAAGATTTAAACAGTACAAATAAAACAAGTCTCTCTTAATCACATACCCTTAGCCCCACCACCCACAACTCTGTGTCCTGAATAGTAAGCACAGAAAGACAACCACATTTTTCTATTTTGTTTTTTTCTTCAAACATCTTCTGTGGTATTTATGTGTGAGTTTACTATGCATAAATGACATAGTTTAGTTTTGTGTTTCTAATTTTTAAATTAAATAAATGTCATAGCATAATACTTTTCAACTTCCCTTCCCTACCTTGATAGTATATCTTGGAGTTATGCCTGTTAGATGGAGCTGGAGCAGTATGGTTTTCCAAAAAATGTTGTTGTTGTTGTTTTTTGTTTGTTTGTTTTTAGACAGAATCTTACTCTGTCACCCAGGCTGGAGTGCAAAGGCACGATCACGGCTCACTGCAGCCTCGACCTCCCAGGCTTAAGCCATCTTCCCACCTCAGCCTCTTGAGTAGCTGGGACTACTGTCATACGCCACCATGCCCAACTAATTAAATAATTTTTTAAAAAACGTTGTCCAGGCTAGTCTCGAACTCCTGGGCTCAAGCAATTTTCCCACCTCAGCCTCCCAAAGTGCTAGGATTGCAGGTGTGAGTCACTGTGTCTTGCCCAAAATGTTAATGTAGCCTATTAGGTTTTATCTGATCATTTCCCTGTTTGTGGACCAATTTTCCCCTTTCTTTTTTTGCAAGTCTGAGATATAATTCACATACTATTCATTTTATCCATTTAAAGTGAACAATTCAGATATTTTTAGTGTATTCATAACTGCACAAATATCACCACAATCCAATTTTAGAACATTTTCATCACCTCAAAGAGAAACTGTATCCTTTAGCTCTCACCTTCCCATTTCCAACATTCCCCCTTCCCCCAAGCCCTCTGTCTAGATTTGCCTATTCTGGACATTTTATATAAGTGGAATCATAGATTCTTTGCCTTTTGTTACTGGTTTCTTTCACTTGGCATACTGTTTTCAAGGTTCGTCCATGTTGTAGCATGTATCGGTATGTCATTCCTTTTTATGGCTGGATCATATTCTGTTGTATGAATATACCACATTTTGTTTATCAGTTTATGGACATTTGGGTTGTTCCCCTTTTTTTTGGCAATTATGCATAATGCTGCTATGAACATTCATGTACTGTACAACTTTTTGTGTTGATATATATTGTCATTTGTCTTGGTTATTATACCTAGGGGTGGAATTTCTGGGTCACATGTTAACTCTATGCTTAACTTTTTAAAGAAAATGGTTCCTTTTCTATGTGTTTATAAATATTGCTGCAGTGGAAGCTTTTATATGTCCATATGCAAATATTTCCTTAGGTTGGATACTCCACAACTTTTCAGCACTAATTATTAGTAAAGTTATATATTTTTTTCCAAGCAGGTGGCCTAAACCTGTAGTCTGAGCTACTTGGGAGGCTGAGGCAAGAGGATTGCTTGAACTCAAGAATTCTGAGCTGTAGTGCACTATGTTGATTGGCTGTCCACATTAAGTTTGGCATTGATATAGTGATGTCCCAGGAGTGGGCTGATGAAGGTGCCTAAGGAGGGGTGAACTGATCAAGGTCGGAAACAGAGAAGGTCAAAACTCTTGTGCTGATCAATAGTGGGATCATGCCTGTGCATAGCCACTGCACTCTAGGCTGGGCAATGTAGCGAGACCCTATCTCATTAAAAAAACTAAAAAAAAATGTTGGAGGGCCAACCTGACATGGAAAATGGCCTGTTTTATTTTGTTCTTTCCTTGTTAGTAGTGGAGTTGTTCAGTTTTTGCATGTTTACTGGCTATTCATATTTCTTTTGTGAATTTTCTTTTTGTATCTTTGCCTTATTTAGAAAAATTCAGACATTGTTTTGTACTGATTTATAGGAGTTCTTTATTTTTTAATGTTTTTGAGACAGGCTTCTCTTCATCACTCAGGTTGGAGTGCAGTGGCGCTATCATGATTCACTGCACCCTCGACCTCCCGGCTCAAGTGATCCTCCTGCCTCAGCCTCCTGAGTAGCTGAGACTATAGTCATGTGCCACTGTGCCTAACTAATTAAAAAAATTTTATTTATAGAGGTAGGGTCTCACTGTGTTGCCCAGGCTGGTCTCAAACTCCTGGGCTCAAGGAATCCTCCTGCCTCACACTCCCAAAGTGTTGGGATTACAGATGTGAGCCACTGTGCCTGGCCACTTGGAGTTCTTTATATAATATGAATATCAATCACTTGTTATATTTGTTGGGTGAAGTAATTCACCATGACTCCTGGGCATCTCTGCACATTTTCACTATATATGAAAAGAATGCAAGGTCCATACTACTCTTTATCTGAACATCTCTCAGAGTTGTGTTTGCAGTGAGCAACCTTGAGGGGTCAGTTCACATGTACCCCAGACAAAGAGGAGAATTAGTTAACCGCTTACTGTAAAAAGGATAAATTCCCCTAAACTCAATGTTCCTCACCTGTAACACAACCTATTGCAGGTGCAAGCATCAGTTTGTGGATATATAGGGTCATGGGGGAACAAACGCAACATAATGCTCATGCCAGTTGCTGTGATGTAATAAAATCCTTGTCTCTGACCCCAAATCTCATGTTTTCTCCCATCATCCATAAAACAGTAAAAGGCTAATGCATTAACTTCTAAGCAGGGTAAAATCCCAGACCCCCATATGGACCTTGACAATTACAGTGCAAACTTTTTCTTAGTCTGTGGCTTGTATTTTTTTTAGAACTTGAACACTTGAACTCATTTTAGACTTATAGAAGAGTCAACCAGGATAGTACAGAGAGTTCCTGCCTGCTCTTCATCTAGCTTCCCCTAATGTAAACATCTTCAAACTATTGTACAATGATCAAAATGAAGGGATAACATTGGTACAATACTATTAAAGATGCTACACACAATTTGTATTTCTCCAGGTTTTCCACTTATGTATTTTTATCTGTTCTGGGATCCAATCCAGGATCCTATTTGCATTTGACTGTCATGTCTCTTTAGCCTCCTCCAATGGAACAGTTCCTTAGTCTATACTTGTATTTCATGACCTTGATACTTTTGAATAGTAATGGTCAGTTACTTAGAAGAATGTCCCTCAATTTGGGTTTGTCTGATGGTTTCTCGTGAATACATTGAAGTTATGCATCTTTGGTAAGAATGCCAGAGTTGATGTGCTCTTCCCAGTATGACTTATCAGGGGGTACATTATATTGATGTGCCTTATTACTGTTGATTTAAAATTGGTCATTTAGTTAGGGTGGAATTTGCCAGGTCTCTGTACTGTACACGTATTGTATTTTGTGGAAGATAACCTTAAACTACATGAATAGCTTTCATAGATGGATCTTGACTGCGGCAGTTATTACTATGGTATGGTATTACTATGGTATGCTTTCATAGATGGATCTTGACTGCGGCAGTTATTACTATGGTATGCTAATGGTGGTTTTCTAGTTCCCTCATTCCTTCCACGTTTATTAATCAGAATTCTTATGTAAGAAAAAGTTGTCTCTTCTCTTATTGTAGTTATGTATTTGATCATTTATTTTCATTAATATAGCCTCATGGGTATTTATTTCATGCTTTCGGTTATAATTGAATACTATCATTATTTAGTTTGTTGCTCAAATTGTGTTTCCTCCTTGGCCATTGGGAAATCTTTCAGGTTGGCTCCTGTGTTTCCTTCTGATTCCCTTACTCTATTTGGACCACTTCTTTACTCTCTACCACTAGATAAATGCTGAAGGCTCATTTTGTATTTGTTCTGCCCTAGTCCTGAGATCAGCACTTCTCCAAGGAGCCTGGGTTTATTTTATTGGAGAGTAGTAATTAGGAACCGAAATCTGGGTGCTAGATGTGCTTTCTTATTGCTTATATTTTAATTTTTAAAAAATGGAATCATTTATAATGAGTTTTTGTATTTAGTTGAAATAATTTTTTCAGCCTCTTATTGCTTTTGTCTTTCATGTATTGTTTAAAAAGACCTTCTTAAGAAGAATAAATTGGCTGGGCGTGGTGGCTCATGCCTGTAATCCGAGCACTTTGGGAGGCCGAGGTGGGTGGATCACCTGAGGTCAGAAGTTCGAGACCAGGCTAGCCAGCATGGCAAAACCCTGTCTCTGCTAAAAATACAAAAATTAGCTGGGAGTGGTGGTGCACGCCTGTAATCCCAGCTACTCGGGAGGCTGAGGAAGGAGAATTGCTTGAACCCGGGAGGTGGAGGTTGCAGTGAGCCGAGATCATGCCACTGCACTCCAACCTGTGTGATGGGAGTGATACTCCATCTCAATAAAGAAAAAAAAAGCAAAATTAAGGTTAACCTAAATTTAAAATAGAATTACCCTTTTCTTCTATTTCTAGGGTTTTATTTCTTTATGCTTTATTCTTCAGTTAACTTGGAATTTATTTGTGTGAATCATGTAAGATTTAATAGCAATGATAATAATAGCAGCTAACATTTATTGTGTGCTTACTATGTGCCAGGCATTATGTTCAGTATCTTACCTATAACTTTTCATTTAATCCTTACATCAGCTGGATCAAATGGGTCTTATTATTATCTTCCCCATTTTGTATAAAGAATAGTGAGAGATTAAGTTTCTTGTTCAAGGTCACAGAGTTAGTAAGAGGGGAAGCAGGATATAGGTCATGCTCTTACCTCTTCAGCTAGCATTCTTTTTTCCAAATGGCTGGCTAATTTTCCCAGCACTGTTTGTCATTTTCTTTTTTCTTTTTTTGAGACGAAATCTCACTCTGTTGCCCAAGCTGGAGTGCAGTGGCGCGATCTCGGCTCACTGCAACCTCCACCTCCCAGGTTCAAGCAATCCTCCTGCCTCAGCCTCCCGAGTAGCTGGGACTACAGGCATGTACCACCACGCCCAGCTAATTTTCTTATGTTTAGTAGAGACAAGGTTTCGCTATGTTGGCCAGGCTGGTCTTGAACTCCTGATCTCGTGATCTGCCCACCTTGGCTGCCCAAAGTGCTGGGATTACCGGCATGACCCACCACACTCGGCCACTGTTTGCCGTTTTCTTTTTTTTTATTTTTTGAGACGGAGTCTTGCTCAGTCGCCCAGGCTGGAATGCTGTGGCGTGATCTCGGCTCACTGCAAGCTCTGCCTCCTGGGTTCACGCCATTCTCCTGCCTCAGCCTCCCGAATAGCTGGGACTACAGGCGCCTGCTACTACGCCCGGCTAATTTTTTTGTATTGTTAGTAGAGACGGGGTTTCACTGTGTTAGCCAGGATGGTCTCGATCTCCTGACCTCGTAGTCCACCTGTCTCGGCCTCCCAAAGTGCTGGGATTACAGGTGTGAGCCACCGCGCCTGGCCTTCATTTTCTTGTAATCATCATAATTTTTGTACGTCTACTCTTTGTTCTTCTTTTCCAGATTTGTCTTAACAATTCATGTATTTTCATCCTTTGGTATACATTTTGAAATAAGTTTATACAGTTTTTTTCTCCAGAATACCAAATGTTGAGACTTAGTTTTATATTTTTTTGAAATGTATGTAAATGGAGTCATATCATATATTCTGCAACCAGCTTTTACTCAACATTATTTGTGAGAATTCATCATGTTAATGTGTGCATTATTATTCATTTGCTACATTTGTTTTTATTGCTGTATCATATTCTGTTGCATGAATGCACCACGATTTATTTATCTGTTATCCCAGAATGGACATTTGGATTGTTTCTAGTTTGGGGTTATTGCAAGCAATGATTCAATGAACATTCTTATTCATGTCTCCTGGTGCACATGTGTGAGAATTTCTCTAAGGCATATCCCTAGGAGAGAATTTATGAATTTGTGGGTCAAAGGCACATACAATTTAAGCTCTTGGAGAGAGGTCTCTAATGATCTACCATAGTGACCTTCAGACATTTTGTGTTAAAAATACTAATCTGTAGTCTTTAAAAAGGATACAAAGCAAATGTGGTAGCAGATCTATGAATGACATTGAGGAGGGCGGGAAAGAAATATATTGGATGACAATGTAAAAATCCAAGAAGGTCTTCAGTGGTAAGAGTGGGGGTGCCATACTGATATCCCAACCTCTTTGTTGGATGGGTTTGTTGACAAACTGTTTGGCTCCCATTATTATTTTAAAATGGTTTTGTTCAGAGCATGTTATTTCTGTTTTTGCTGGGTAGACCTCTCCGTTTCATGCTCTCTTCATCTCTGACCAATTCTCAAATAGGCACTTGATTTTATCATCCCTAGTATGTAAGAGTGTTCAGTTAATAATAAGATAACATTTATTAAGAATAGGTTAAAAATCCTGAAAGAATTTGAAGGAGAGAAATTGATCAACTTTGGATAAAGACTTAACAGTTTTAGTTGAATCCGTTGATAGAATGATATTACTGATGTGAGTCAACTTGATCCCAGGCTGCTTTATGAGAGATATAGTTTCCAGAAAAAAGGAAGATGATGTTTTGGCTCTTCTCAGCATTGGCCAGATCACAATGAAGGCTTCCTTTCATTCCTGAAGCATGTGTGTTTAGAGTGATGTTGTGTGCGTCCAAAGTAGAAAGGCCAAGAGGTTGAAGCTATTAAGACCATGTCCTTGGAACCAACCCCAAAGCTCATCAATGATAGACTGGATAAAGAAAATGTGGCACATATACACTATGTGGCTATAAAAGGGAATGAGATCATGTCCTGTGCAGGGACCTGGATGAAGCTGGAAGCCATTATCCTCAGCAAACTAACATAGAAACAGAAAACCAAACACCGCATGTTCTCACTCATAAGTGGGAGTTGAAAAATGAGAACACATGGACACAGGGAGGGGAACATCACACACCGGAACCTGTCAGGGGTCAGCGGGGAAAGGGGAGGGAGAGCATTAGGACAAATAGCTAATGCACGTGGGGCTTAAAACCCAGATGAGGGGTTGATAGGGGCAGCAAACCACCATGGCACATATATCCTATGTAACAAAGCCTACACGTTCTGCACTTTTATCCTGGAACTTAAAGTAAAAAAAAAAGACCATGTCTTATTAAATGACTAAAGGCACACAGAGTGCTCATCTTTGAATAAAAGACTTAGTAATGATATGGTAAATGTCTTCGAACATTTGAAGGGATGCTGTGTGTTCACTAGGCTCCATTATGCAAAACTATAGAGATGAGCAGAGATTGCAGGAAGATAGATTTTTCTTCTCAAAATAAAGAAGAACTTTCTCATAATCAGTTATTTAAGCAGGTACTATTTGATGACCACTTACAAGAAACTGTTGATTTCAGATTGCCTTCACTTTGCTAGTAAGGTTTTGTTTTGAATAATGTTCTGTTTTTTGTTTTTGTTTTGTTTTGTTTTGTTTTTGAGACGAAGTCTCACTCTGTTGCCCGGGCTGGAGTGCAGTGGTGTGATCTCGGCTCGCTGCCAGCTCTGCCTCCCGGATTCACATCATTCTCTTGCCTCAGCCTCCTGAGTAGCTGGGCCTACAGGCACCTGCCACCACGCCCAGCTAATTTTTTGTATTTTTAGTAGAGACGGGGTTTCATTGTGTTAGCCAGGATGGTCTTGATCTCCTGACCTCGTAATCTGCCTGCCTTGGCCTCCCAAAGTGCTGGGATTACAGGTGTGAGCCACCAGGCCCGGCCATGATGTTCTGTTTTAATAACTTGACCCATTCTTGAAGACCCAGAGTAATATAATGTCACAAATAATTACCCTGGAAAAGTCATTCCTCATAGAAGCAGGTCCAGTTCAAGCCTACAGACAGAATTTTAATTATAAACAGAATGAGTCTTCAGTTTTAGTAAATCATTTAAGGTGCTTATAATAACTTTGTCTTAAGTATTGTAAGAAAAATATATGTTAATTACACTTAAATATCTACCATTTTAGTATATGTATGATTGGGAAGACTGAATTTCTTAAGTAAACTTTAGCACACTGATATATTTGGATGTTTCATAGAATTCTTATACATTTTTCCCTTAGAATTGGCGTGATTTGGATGCAAGAATCACTGATACAGCAAATGAATCCAAAGATAATGTCAGATATTTGTATACTTTGGAGAAAGTGTGTCAACCTCTCTATAACCATGACCTAGTAAGTATGCTTTTAAAGTACAGTTTTGAACTGAGTGCAATGGCTCGCACCTGTAAGTCTAGCTACTCAGAAGGCTGAGGTGGAAGGATCGCTTGAGCCCAGGAGCTCAAGGCTGCAGTGAGCTATGATTGTGCCACTGCATTCCAGTCTGAGTGACAGAGCAAGAAGACCCCATCTCTGAAAAAAAAAAGGTACAATTTAAGAAATTGACTTGTATAATTAATGCATTAAAATCTTTAATATGTGTGTATTGGAGAAAAACATCCTGCCAAAAGTTATTTAAAATATGTATTTTCCTCTTATGTATTTATGAAGAATGATAAACTATATTTAATATTTTAACCCATATTAAATATATAGTGAATCATTAGTATAATATGAAATAAGCAAGGCAAATATTAATGTATTATTTACCCTTTGCTACATAACAAATTACCTCAGAACTGAGTGGCTTAAAAACAGTGAGCATTCATCATGTCAGAGTTTCTGGCTCAGGAATCCAGGCAAGGCATAGCTAAGAGCTTCTGCTTCAAGTCTCTCATGAGGTTGCCCAGTGGCTAAGTGGGACTGTGGACTCATCTGAAGTGGGGGAGGCTGACTGGGGAGAGTCTTCTTCTCAGCTCACTCATGTGGTTATTGGCAGGCCCCAGTCCCTAGCCACATGGGCCTCTCCACCTGGCAACTTGCTTCCCTTGGGGTGAGTGATCCAAGAGTGAGCAGGAGAATGAGAGAACACCCAAATTGGAATCTACCTTCTTTTTGTAACCTAATCTCTGAAGTGACAGCCCATCATTTCTGTTGTATTCTATTGACTAGAAGCAAGTGAGTCTGGTTCATTCTGGGCAGGTAGGGGAATATACAAGGGTGTGAGTACTATGTGGGTGAGCATCACTGGGGCCATCTTCGGGGCTGCCTATCAAGGTAGATACTTCCCAGTTTACAGATTAGGAAACCAAACTCATCATGGTGTAGTGACTTTGCCAGCATCACTCAACTAATCAGGGATGCAGGACAGAACCCATCTTCTAATTTCTAGCCTATTCTTCTCATAATATTTCCATAGAGATCCTTTAAAGAACATGTTAGCACTACCATTTGCTTTTATTTTTTAAAAGTTTATATTAACTTCAAATTTATAATCTTGTATTTCATATAAAATATGAAAATTAAAAAAACTCTATCCTTTATTTAATAGAAGGAGAATTCAAGGAAGCTAGTAGTTGTTGAGAACTTAGGGCAGGATTTCCCCATTTTGCCTGGCTGTTACTTCTTTTGTAAATCACTTGTAGGCAGGAGGGTTAACCAGACAGCTGTATTTTTAAAGATGTTCCCAGGCTTGAGAATCCTTGACCTTTTGTTATAGGCATTGGGCTACATGCTTTGCATATGTTTTCATTCTGTATGCACAATGACACTCATTTCGAAGATTAGGAAACTCAGTTTGAGCATTTCTACGATGATCCATGGTGGGACCAAATTTGAATCTAGCTGTCTCTAGCATTATGGGTCGTATTATTTTTCCACTTTACTATGTTGCTTCTTCAAGGTATTCTCTAAGTTAAAATGCTTCCTCTTCCCTTCCCCTGCTCTCACCACCGTGGGATGGAGTCTCTCTCTGTCGCCCAGGATGGAGTGCAGTGGCGCCATCTCTGCTCACTGCAACCTCCGCCTCCCAGGTCAAGCAATTCTCCTGACTCAGCCTCCTGAGTAGCTGGGAAAGGTGCCACCATGTGCGTGCCACCATGCCCAGCTAATTTTTGTATTTTTAGTAGAGACAAGGTTTCGCCATGTTGGCCAGGCTGGTCCCAAACTCTCAACCTCAAGTGATCCACCCGCCTCCGCCTCTCAAAGTTGCTGGGATTACAGGCGTGAGGCACCGTGCCCGGCCCAGTGCTTTCAGATTAATTTAATTTGTGTCTGATATCTGTATTCAGTATTCTTCACTCTAATTTTTTAAGAAGTAGTCAAATCTTCCATATACGTGGCAGCACTGGCCACATGGTTTTGTTGACCAACCTTCTTGGGTCAATGCAGGTTTCATCCTAGAGGCAGGGAGAAGGAAAGACATTATGGCCTGTATCACTTAGAGTTGGAGAAGAAGAAGGTGTAGAGGCAGTTCATAATCATTCCAAGAGCGTGTTAGTAGTCAAGAAGTCTAATATGAAAGGGGAGGGAAAAATGTCGGTTGAGAGTCTTGGACAAGTGCATTTCTTACTGCCGTGAGGAATCCATCATCCATCAAGGAGCACCAAGAGACGGGACAGGAAGACCTTAGAAAGCAGAGTCTTTTAATTGAGTCCATAAAGAGATTGTAGATTTTATTTAAAACTTATTAGTGTTATTTGCAAATAATTATGACTGTTGAAAAAATCACAGCTTTATTTTAGATTCAGGGGTACATGTGCAGGTTTGTTACATGGGTATATGACATGATGCTGAGGTTTGAGGTATGGATCCTGTCACCTAGGTAGTGAGTACAGTACACAAGAGGAAGTTTTTCAGCTCACATCTCTCTCCCTTCCTCCCCACCAAGAATTATGACTTTCTTAAACTTCATTCTTCTCATTTTTACCCCTGCTACTAGTAGCTGGACTTGTGTTGTGAACCTTCGTAAAATTTATTTAATATAAGAACATTTATATCATTTCTTAGGTATTTCTGTGCACATGACCCCAAGTAAAGAAAATTAAATTGTATGGTGTTGGAGAAATGGGGCCGTTGCTTGGCTTACTTGGTAGCTCAATGACTTAATTCCCCAACTTTACAATACGAGCAATTAAAATTTCTGTCCAAGAAGAATTAAAATTATTACATGTCACAAGCATTTCGGATTGCTCACAAGATTTGAAGATGCAAATATGAAATACACATAATACCTAAAGCCTGCTCCAGGGTTACTGCAAGTAGCTCTTGATGTGAAAAATAATAGAGGAAGTGACTATGGCACAATGTTCACACTTGTCAAATCTGGTGATGGGAGTAGGTGGTCATTATATTATTCTCTGTACTTTTCTATATATTTAAAGCTTTTCAGTATAAAAAGTAAACTCGAAAGAAAGATAGAATACTCTTTATTGCTATCAAGACTCCAAATTTTAAGGTATACTGATTTCAACTTCTTGATTCAAAAGACTTGTTTTAATTCATATAATTTAAAAATCACTTAGTTCTTACGTTTTTTTCATCCTAGTAATTTTAAAAAACTTTGTTCGATTACCCTAACCATGGATGTACCTTATTATTGTTATTTTGTTGTTGTTGAGCTTTTTATATTCTCTCATGTAGGAAGGTTTCAAGCATTACCTTTAGAAATGACAGAAGTACTAATAGTATTGAGTCATATAATTGCTTCCCACTCATACACCCACTATATCTGTACTTTCAACAACTCCTTTTCCCCCTCATTTTCTTTATTCTGATTAAAAGTAACCAGCAATTGCTGTTTAGTTCATAACTGTCATTTGGGTAGGAAAAGTGTAGGGGATTCATGCTTCCATTTCTGCTTCATAAGTTTTATGTATGTTTCATTTTTTTTTTATCACCCTGGTATTGCGCTTTAGGCATATCTTACTATTATATGTTTCACATATAAGATATCTGAACACTGTGTATAGATGGACAACAGCAGTGCACTCAGGGAGCCACTATTATAAATAATGATGTTTAAAGTTCAGATGAAGGACATTTTCCTGAAGGACCCATTTGATGCCATCCCTGAGCCCTCTTTATTGGAGTTTAGTGGTCTTTGTAGACATGACTTAGCAAAAGTGGAAGGGACTCCTTCTAGGCATATTTTTATTAGGATCTTTTTGATCTACAGATACCATATATAATAGGAATTCTGACATACAAGGTTAACTATAAAGTAATGATGTTAATTTCCGTAAGCCACATAAAACTGATTTAATTATTCCGTAGTGACACCCCACGTCTAGGACATACCATACACTAATCAGTAGTTGTTTTTCTTGGCTGTATTTCTTCCATTGCCAATAAAAAAAGTCTTATATATTTTATCTTGTCCCATCAATTAAAAGGAAATTTCCTTGAAGACAGGGATGCCGTTGGCTTTGTCTGTTCTTCTGTAGTGATTTGCATCATGGTTACAAGCAGGGTCTCAGAATCTCTACTAGGTAACTTGCAGCTGCTGGATCTTAGGCAAGGGACTTAACTTCTCTACCTCTCTGTTTTCTCATTTGTAAAATGGAAACAGTGATAATGCTTTCTTTCACTCCCGTCCATGTGAAGAGACCACCAAACAGGCTTTGTGTGAGCAATAAAACTTTTTAATCACCTGGGTGCAGGTGGGCTGAGTCCGAAAAGAGAATCAGCAAAGGGAGATAGGGGTGGGGCCGTTTTATA